TGTTGTTATGTATAATTCATAGTTACATAATTTACTAAAATATTGCTTAATAGCCAATAATATAATATCATTGTTAATAGTTATATTTTATAATCGTCAATCATTAAAAAACCGTTATTTAATATCAATTCAAATTTGTCGCTTATTAACCTACTTGTAGAAGTTTATTTGAAAACAATACCTATTTTAATAATTGAGTTTTGATGTTCATTGTATTTTAAAATATATATTACGGAAAATATATATAGTTAATTAAAAACGAATAAAACTATTTTTAAGACAATCTAATCTCAAATGGTAAATGATAGTCAATTACGAGAATAAAAAACAAACCAGATATAATAACACCTTGCTTTTTGTCTATTCCTGATTCAACCGAATAGAAAAAAGATTTTTGGTCTATTCCTAAAACTTTGGTCAATTCCTAAAAGTAAAAAAAAAAGTCTTGTGAAATGAAAGTTCAAAAAAACTTTTACTAATTTCGAGAGAACAAAACCACTATCTATACTTAATTAATGTTAAAAAAAGTTTTTCTTCTGAAAAAGAATTTCTCGAATTATCCCTATTCAACTTTCTGTACCTTTTCAAACTTATTTGAATTAAGAAATACAAAAAAATATTTACCGACTTGACTTTAACAACCAAGAATGATATTTATTTTAAAATATTTAAAATAATCGACAAAAACACTGATAGTCTCGACAATAAACAATTTCGTTTAAAAAATATATTATGCAATCTGTCACACTATTTAATTCAGTCACCTTTAGTCACAATGCGACCTTTAATGCGTTTACAATGTAAATAAAGTTGAACTAGTTTGACACATCTGATTACAATACGATCGATCACATAATAGGCGTATGTAGATATACATTTGTATAACCTCTATGTAAACGAATTATGATATTTCAATCTAAGGTTATATTATATGAGTAGTTTTAATGGAAAAGCAACTTTCTTTCAACAATGATAATTTCTAACATTGAAATTTATTTACGAAAGTATCTTCGTACTTGGGTAAAATTTGGCTTTTACAATTTAAATCAATAATACGAATCTATAACTCAAGTTCAGTTATAGCTACACCAATAATGGCATTTGATATAAAATTATTTTTTTCTAATAATTCCTTTTTTTAATAATACGTAGTAGACAAATAGATAAAATAATCATACTATATATCAAATGTAAAAACCTTTTTTGCTTTTTTCCGTTCGGATTCAATTCATAATTTGAAAGGAATTGACAGCAAACTAACGTTCTTTTTTTACTGTAATAGTATTCTTAAAAAACAATTTCAAAACATAATAGAAACTCTTTTATCTTACTTGTCTGTTGATTTATGTTATTTGGTTTGTGCGTATCTTGTAGACATGTGATAATACTTTAGAATGGTGACATTTTTATTTTAAAAAGCATTAACTAATATTTATTAATTAATAATGAATTTGAATCAAATTTATCCGTATTACATGATATGACAACAATTTGATCAATCGAATTGTGACTGATAGTTTTTGTTAGATTATAACTGGCAGTGATTTGTAGTCACATGTTTTTTTCAAACATAAATAAAAAATCTTATTATTTTAAAAGACAAAGATCTAGTTCATGACACTTTAAATAAATTCTCAATGCACGATACGTGAAAAACATTTATCTTCGCTAAGTAATTTAATATTATTGTCAATAGATATTCAAGAAGCTATTATTTTGTACTGCCATCTGAGTACACATGAGTTACGATCAGACACGTGACGAACCCGAACTTCAGAAGTTCCACCAAGAAGGTCATAATTTTTCTAGAACACAATTTGAATATTGACTGCCAACCATTTTGTTACGTAAAACCGTAAAAGAGGTTTACATAAAAAGAAAAAAAAAACGAGTACCACTTTGTGATTGAGTTTTCCTAGAATCGGCAACACTCGTGCCGTGATCCGATTTCACGGCCTGCTGATAGTGCGAAGTGATCGAAATATCTGGAGAACTATTTCGAATCGTATTGACGACTTCCATTACTTTTTTTGTATATAAATGTTTTTGTCGTGTGCTATTAATACATAGTGTTTTGTTTATTCGATTTTGCATGAGCTAAATGTGTAACATCTCAATATTGATAACAAAATATTGATCAATAAAGATGTAAAGATGTATTTGGGCTTATTTCAGTTCATATTTTTAGTCTTACTAATCGACAGTAGCTTTTTTTAAGGCTACGAAATGCAAATACATGCTCGATCTTTCTCCCACGGACCCGCCGCCTTATGGAGGGTTAGTCAAGAAGCAGAGAAACGTTATAACCGAATTTCTTTTTCTATCAATGTTCTTCTAAATTCTTTGTTATCTGAGATCATATTCATTGACTTAAAATTACAAGTACAATTAGTTGTTTATTAAATTTGTTATTGTACTATAAATGTTTCATACATAAACAGCAGAAACGATAATTATAAACAAAAAACAATAAATAAAATAAAACAACTATAAGACAATAACAATTCGCGATGTTTTATTTCTTTATTCGACGTTTCGGTGCCTACAGATACGTTGGCGACTCACGGTTTTGAACGGCTAATAAAAACATAAACACAAGTACAAGTATTGGAAAAACAATTCTATAAGTTTGTGCAAACTATAAAGATATATATCTAATATAAGGGTTTTATCTTGATTATATGTCAACTAGTTTATTTTACAATGATGTCCTTTTTTAGTAATTAGCTGTCATTTGGTCGATTGTTTTCTGATCAAACTAACATACCAGTTGAATCGATAGACATACATACATCCGAAGGATTAAGAACATCCTTCTCTTTTTAAATCGGGTAAAATATAGGTTAGTATTTTAAGTCTCTACAACCAACAGTTTATGCAGGCTGTGCATTGTTTGTCAGTATATTACATAATTTAAATCACTTATATCGTGAATATTTAACTATTGCCTTAACTAAAACCTGCCATATTATTTTATTTAAATCTATTTAAAGCTACCAAAAAGGAGAATGAATAAATAGGGGCGACCAATAATGGCGTAAGTAAATAAAATAATGTGTGCCAAAAGCTAAATAGTGAAATACTCAGTATTTCACTATTTACAACACTTCACGTGTTTTATTTAAGACAAACTCTTGAATTACTACAAGTATACTAGAACTGAAATAAAAATGGGAATAGGACAATTATATTTTATACCTATACACTTCATTAAGTAACTGTTATTACTCAAATGTTTACTTATTGTCTCTTTAATTTAAAAATATAAAAGACTACCTACATAATCTATTCTACCTACATAGTTAGACCTAGAAATTCTATTATTTCACCACAACATGAACACAAATAAATTTTGAACTTATTTCAACAAAGATTGTCAAACAAGTTAATACATATGCAGTACCCAGTACCTGAACTAAAAGGGCTTGTCATAAAGATTACATCCAACCATAGATTATTAAACCTCGCAATATATTGTATCGCTTAGCAACCTTGTTTTTTATGTCATTTTAATAAGTTATGAAAATAGAAGGAATTTAGTCACTGTCAGTTACGTGTTTAATATTGTTATATAATAAATTTGCGACAAGATGTCGAATTCAGAAAAATACTCAATGGCGCGTGCGGCATTAAAAGGTAACTGAAACGTATTAAAACTATTTGGACTTAAATCAATTTAATAAAAATATATGTAAAGCAAAATAGGAAGTAGAATAAATGTACATTCAAATTAAAATAAGACTTTTACGTAGTTTTACACAAATTCATGAAGAAGTAATGCCAACTGCAAGTTATCAAGCACCATAATTAAATTTTCTGCCATTACATGAAAAAGAAACATTTCGCAACTTTAATGCGAATATCAGTTTAGTTTCTTCTGAATGATATCTCTTGAATACCTACATTTTATTATCCACTTTAACACCAGAATTTAATAAACGACTTTTCGATTTACCCGAATATCCTAGTTAAATCTAAATATCTGTTTCATAAAGGTTATCGCCGATAGTTCCGTATAAGTACCCATATTTTGGCAGTTACTGTAATGGTATAAAATAAAGAAAGCATTCACATCAGAAAGGTTTTGAAAAACTCACTGCACAATTGATGAAATTTCTGCATCCTAAGCCTAGTGTGTGGGCCGCAGAGTACAACAAGCAGTCGGTAAATCAAAATGTTAGATGTATTCAGTGCATTTGGCATGCCGTACACACTTGTATCTAAAAATGGACGATGATTTACTTACATCAATAGATTTTAAAAAATCTAACCGTTTGTGGCATCACTCACAGAACCACAGTCTCATACCATCCTGCGAGTAACGGCCAAGCAAAATGATTCGTGCAGACTTGAAATCGATAAGGCGTGGGCAAACACCTAAACGATTAGCGTTTGGCAGATCTATTAGGACGAAATTCTTTAAAAAGATACAACCTACCACTCAATCACAATCCAACAATGTGTCAATCAGATCTTTCATTCTATTGGCTAGAGTACAGACGAGAAATTATTATAGTCCTACCGGAAGTGGGAGTTCGCCACTGTACTGCAACGCTTACGCTCACTATAAATTGAAGTGGACTCGCCACCTAGAACGACTGCTGCCAGCACCCTAAATTCCACAGCCAGGAATCGCCGCGGAGACGTGTCCTATATTACGTCCAACATACACTTAGCAACTGTAGTTTGTTATGTTATTGTCATAAAGTGTGGAAATAGATATTCAACATTTAATTAGAAGCTAAGAAGTGGCGGCTAGTATTTTATGGCATAGAGTGGACTTGCCTGCTAACCCGCCTCTGTATCTATTAATATAAAATATTTTTTATTTTATTTTATTTATTTATTTACCAACATCTTATACATTTATACAGTATACACAAAAAGTAAGTTATAAAATAACTTGGTGAATGCAAAGACAATTATAGGTAAACACTGCATGCAATCCAACAGCTTAATCTATCTGTATAGTCGTACTTATTAGATTAATTGTTTCCCAGGAACGTCCTCCATCATCGGTCTAAACGATGTGACGGACAACAAGCTAATCTGGCGACAACTGGTGGCGGAATTGTTGGGCACATTTGTGCTGACGTCACTCGGCGTGGCGGCGTGCATTGCCATCACGGCAGCGCAGGCGCCGCAGACCACCAGCATCGCGCTCGCCTTCGGTTTACTCGTTGGCTCTATTGTGCAGGTCAGTCGATAACGTATAACACAAAGAAGAAACTAGAGTAGTAACGAACTGCTACTGAGTGGGGAGCCGTATGAGAAAACTAAAAAGAAGACAAAGAGAGATTAGAATAGCACATTCACACAAGACAGTAAAACTCGACGTCAAGCATAGTGCTATCATAGATGTGCTATCAAATTAAACCAATTTCCAATGGTAATAAAGACTGTTTCGTCGTTACTCTATGCTGAGACAGCATTCTGCCCGTCATCAGTTGGTTGGTTGACGCATTGTCGACACTGCTTTTTATATTTTATTTCTACCACACACACATTTAAACATATTTGATTGTTACTTAGGTAGCTCGAAGACGCGATCGGATATTTTAGTATGAGTTAGAACCCTTGTGGTTTATTTTTACGTCCAAGACTCTTTTAACATTTTCCTGTAGCTAATACTTTGATAGTTACCCCAAATATCATCGCATATAAATATTTGCAAATATTTATTTGTAATTAAATATTACTATTTAGTTGAATTTCTAAATATTTAATTGCAAATTAAACATTTTTGTGACGCTCGTTCTTCTTTTTAACGGGCGTTCGGGGCTTCCACTTGCTCCTTGATCCAGTCCTGATACATTTCTATTAATTGTATTTTTATATACTTTCCTCATAATAATTCCCGAGTACATTGAGCTATATTTTTGTTATTTAATGAAATTATACAAATCTTCGCAAACAGTGTTGCCAGATGCCTTGAACCTATTATCAGTAGTAGGAACTGCTAAAATCTGTATACAATTTTAATTTTAAAATCTGTAAGGTCAAAGAAATCAAAACACAGTTTCTGATCATAATCATTATTGCTTCTTTTGAAAATTAAGAGATAAATACTAACTATAGTTTGATTATCGTAAATTATATAAATGTATACACTAATTACTAAAATAAACGTTTTATTTTAGTACTTATGTACATATAAATTAAAACCCTAAAATTTGCAACAAACGAACTTATAGTTCCAGATCGTTTTTCCCAATTGAAAGATCTATGTTACAAAATGTACAAAAAGCAAAGTAATAACTTTTGTTACTAGGTCTCCACCACGCCCTATAGAAAGAATCTTCCATTCAATTTCGATTAAAATTTTGCATTACTTTAGGTTTCTTAGATGCAATAATAGTTCACAATAACACAATATATATTCTTAATGAAAAAAAGTTTAAAAAAATCCGCCAACCCCTGATTCTCTGATGTGGGACTCGAACCCAAGACCTTTTGCAATCCGGGTGACTGCTGTAACTACTGAACTACCCAGACCCCAGGACTGACGAAATTTTTAAGCACTTATTAGGTGCTTTTCGCTCCTACACTATCGTATATTCATCAATGTTCAGGCAACTTGTCTCGTCAGGCAAAACTCTGCATAAAAATCTCTATCCAGTGCTAATCTGTATTACACACTGAAAATCTCTATAAATACGGAGAAATCTCTATATATGGCAACACTGATTGTAAATAACACACATTTATTCGAATCATTGGTGAGCCGTATATTTATAATTTTTAGTAAAGTCAAGTACAGTCTAGTGAAAATGAAACTATTTAAATTGCTTCGTCATTGCTTCCGAGGTAGAATGATTCTACAAAACGTAGATTCATTAGAATTTTAAGAAGGTTTTCGTAGTAATACTACGCTTAATTTTGTAAATGAATCTCTGTTAACCAAAAACATTAAACTAGTTAACCGAGGGAATCTAAAGGAAACATCTATATTGCAAATAAATGGCGTTTAAGTAATTAAGATAGCAAATTCAAAATGGTCTCGATCACTGATCATATCATTCGATATTAAATTTTCGATTGGATAATTAGTTTTATTTAAGATTATAATTGAATATATTCTCTTACAAAGCTATTCAATATCATGTAACTGTGTGTATCATATAAATTATTGTTTGCTTTATAGCTACCATTATAAAATTTAAAAAACGTACAAAAACCGTTTTAAATGTAATAAACACACCAAACTATAACATAAGAAGCCATAAACAATTAGATCACGTTCCATTTAGCATTAGTCTCATTTTCCCGTATAGTTTTTGTATTATGTGGTCCATAATATTAAGGGGACTAGAACGAAATTTAACGTTTTCTATATTTAGATAAGTCTAAGTGCGCAGTAGTTAGCAGCGACATTTTTATCCTGTCTGCTAGTTATTGTCAGTGCTTAAAACAAGTATTCCTCTAAAGATTAAGTCATGAACTATTACGTGTATAAAACAACTTTTTTATATATTGTTGTTATAAAAATGTCATAAACACTTCTAACCTGACATCGTATCAAGAATCAAGTAATAAAAACTTTTTCCTTTTATTTACCGAATGGTACTGGCCTTAACACTTATACGACCTTGGACTAAACGGCCATACAGTTCGGGATTATTCAACCGCCGGTCCAGAAGCCAGAAGAATAATCTTAACCCTTCATTTTATCCTCTATAATAGTTCGGTTCCAGGTAGCTATCAAGAAATCCCCGAGGATATCGACTTGTACAGTCATAAACACCAAAAGTAGCACTTAACAGTGATGTCAAATATTTTAGATAGTGTTAGTTTATTAACAAAATTTAACTATTTGCCCGCAACTTCGCCCGCGTACATTATTCCCGTGAGTGAACGGAAATAAACAAACAATCGAATCTTTTCTCTTTATAATATTACTGTCTGTTTTTCCGCGACTTCGCCCACGTAAATTATAGCCAATGGTGCAGAATGTACCTTCCCGTATATGAATTAATTTTAGAAATCGATTCAGTGGTTTGAAAAATATTGCAGGCCCCGCCGCCAAGCTCAGATATTGCAAGTTATTGAAAAACCAAATAAGAAAATTACTATTTTTATTCTAGTTAAAAAATATATATATATATATACAAAGGATACAGTATACAAAGGATACATATCCGATATACAGGGATATGATCTGTAACTATAATATTGCAATTTAAGTTTTAAAGAAAACTCAGCGAGATGGTACGCAGTATAATAAAAATAGTATTGTTTTGTAACTAGGTAAACGATAGTCACGGTGAAATTGAAAAGAACTCGCTTTCGTTTGAATAAAACATAAAACGATAAGGAAACGTACGGTACATTGCAAATGTAACGCATCAAATAGTAGGTCACAATATCAAATGAAGAAACATTATATTGAATTTCAAATTCATAAAAGAAAACTATTAGATAAGTAACAAATGTTGAAAGTGTTTTAACTTATACGCCTTATTTAACTAGCTTATTAACAGATAATAGTCTCAGTAGTACGTTTCTAATCTAGTTTGAACAGTTCTTAGATAACGATTAATCCATAGATTCACTTTATCGTAACAACAGCTCCTGTGAAATGTTGCTTACAATAACTACAGATCTGACAATACCAGTCGTGCCCAGACTTTCCCACGCGTTCCCGTGATCATTCATGTGTTAAAAATATCTCACATGACTGATTCAATGTTATCAAAAGGCCAATATGCGTAAACCACTGAATTGGCCGACCTTGACTTAATGTTTTTTAATATTTATTTACGTTTCGCTTTCCCTACACTCAAATGAAAGTACATTACATTAATTTTTTAAAGTTTAAGGTTGAAATGTTGCACCTTATTGAGGACTATCACACGTAGAAATTATGTAATTTTTTTACAAAAGTTCGAGGCCAGCGTGGGTGTATATTTGCAATTTTGTATTTTAACAATAGGACCGATTAAATTATAATTTATACTGTCATAAACCATTAATGCAATGCATATATGGTATGGAAGATTATTTGTTGACTAACAACTGTTCACTTATCGAATTTTGACCCGTTATTCATAATGCGTGGGTGTTCGCAGGTAAATAAATAAATATCCTAGCACTCCATGACCTATTTATGTATGTTTAACTATTGACACCGTATAATTGTTATTATGGTTAAACAAACTTTACAAGAGTGTAATCGAGATAGCGGATTGGTCACGAATATAGCGTCGCGTGACACACACAAGTAGCCCCAGGCGTTGCGCAAATTGATCAATTGTACGATATAACAGTTACACTGATGTTGTTATCTTTTTGGTAATACATGATCAAAGCTACTTGAATAATAATTTGTCTCGTTAAGATTAAGTTAGAGGTTAAAATATAGAATATAGACATTTTATGCGTCTATCACCTTTCGAGACGGTAATTGACAAACTAAATATATGATTAGTAAAAATTATTAATTAAAATTGACATTAACTTAACTTAAAATGATCCTATTTAATGAATTTACTAACTATTTATAGGTAACAGTTTTCTGAGATCAATTAATCAACTTCAATCAATCAAGAGTGTATAATTATTAATATACACTTTTCAAACGACGATAACCTTTTTTCCGTGACCTTTTTGGTAAAATAATTGATCACACACATATCAACAATTGCTGTCTCTCTTAAAATGTTTGAAAGGTTCAAGACTTTTCGATTACATATAAATCGATCTAAAAAAAATAATCATAATGAATTTGATTGACCTCTGTAGCTAAATTAATAATATTTAGCAAAGTTATTTCCGAAATTTCAAGTTTATCATCGGTCTGGTTAATAAAAAAGTAGATCAAAGATATCTTAGTATACTTATACGCCTTAGGGTATGTGGACGCTTTGGTTTTGTATTTTTGTCCTTTTGATAATAAATGACATTCTAAGATTAATTGAACTTTGGAAAAAAATAAAAAAATTCAAAGATCGCAAACGGAGCAATTTTTTTTAAATTAACTCGTTTCAAATGTTCTTACTTTTACGGCTTAAGTCATACACGACTGTAATAACACTCATTTTCGCAAATTTTGAATTGTGAGTCTCGGTACTAACAACATAATATTTTATTTTTCTTCATTAAATGATAAAACCGATAAATTATCACAATAAAAATGATACCAGTTTAGATTTATACAAAGCACATTTTCGCACTATAAAAAAATAATAAAAGTACCTT